GAATCTATAGCAGAGATAGTAGAATGACAATTTGGACTGCAACCTAAACAAAAGTAACGACTGGAAAAGAAATCTTAATCAAAGCAAGGATACACACGACAATTGTTGCTGAGGCAGCTGCTAAAAGTGACTCCTCAGTTTCTGTGGGAATCGAAAACGATCCTGAGATCAAGACTTTATCCGAATGTAGATCTTTGGTGAGGAACATGTCTATGGACAGGAAATGCTTCCAAAAGTGGCATTAGAAACCAATATGTTCTATCATGGGCAGGAGAGACCTTTGAGCTCGGTTTTAACAGGATCGACGGTATTAAACAGCGTTCTATTGCTTGTGAAGCTTGTATATTTTACCTATCGTGTGTAAAGATGAGAAGAAAAAGAAATAAAGCCGTGATATAATGCATATTTTTCCAACCATCGATTAACTCTCTCTCTCTCTCTCTTCATTATTGAAGCTGTTTGATTCATAAGTGATAGAACAGGCAAAAGAATGATACTATTTTGTGGACAAAAAAAAAGCACTCTCTCTCAATAATATATGAATTATGCTTTATCCCACGTATACGGTTGAATGCACGCAAGCCAAAAATATTTTTGATATACACTGAAACAGAATAATGCTTTCCTTTTCATTATTAAACAACGTCGATACATTATCAACGTATTATACTCTTCATTGCAACATTAATCACATTAATACAAGAAGCAAAGGTAAGTCTTTTGATATTACAGTATCTTTCTATACCTGTTTTACTTTATTAGTATTCAGAAGATTTTTCTATCATGAAGTAATGCCACCAACGCAATGGTGCTCGCTTCACATTCATATTAAATCCATTCAGATGGGACTATTAGACTAGAATACTCATCAAAGGATTCATACTCTTGTTGAAATTCGAGCGAAACTATTAGTTTTAGTTGATTTTTTCTATGGGAAGCTAGTTTTCAATTGTAACCATACTTCAAATTTCGATATAAACCTTTCTTAGCATTAAAACTTTGCTATTACATGCTCGTATATCAATTTTCAACATTCGTGAAATTAGTAGCAGATGCAAGGATTTCATGTTTTGAAGAATATAAAAGATGTGTACAAACTCTTCGGGCATCTTAAGAGTTCTGCGTTTTACCCGGTAGCAAAAACCCTGAAAAAATGGTTAGGAAGAAGTAAAAAATCTTTTGCCGAAGGATTTAGAAATCTTTTTTGTGACACGAAGCCCTTTTCAAAGGCTTTGCTTTAAGATAAAGTCAGAACCTGTTAGAGGCCTAAAGGGTTCTGCAAATCTCCTATTTTTCATAATGTCCATATTCGCTGAGGACCTCTTTCAGATGTTCTCATTTGTATTTCACGTAGCAATTGATATGCCCTATCAAACGGTGAGAATCAATTTTAAGTTATCTTCTATCGTTACTTTCGAATCGCAAAATAATGTTTTCTCCCGTCAGGCTATAAGGAACTTCGTAGATACTGTCCGAAATTATTCGCTCACGATCTTTCCCATTTCTTTTTTTTCGGTATTACTAAAAGGATCAGATACAATATTCCTTGAGCTACGAGAAAGAAAATGAGTTCATAATACAAATGAATCACAAAACAATTGAAAATTTCTCTTCTATCTATATTACTTATATACACATACATGAATGCATATTTGTGTCGACATCTATACTTACATTGACATACACATGTTTATTTTAGATTATTGCACATGTTCAATTCTACAAGAGAGAGTGAGATCTACTACGGTCTATTAGGGTCTGGTAGTATCTGCCATGATTTCGCGGGGACCATATCAAGAGAGACGTAGTGTAAGTCACAGAGATGGAAGCGGCATTGGTAACCGGCCGGCCCGATACCGGTCTATATTTTTCACTTTTCTAGTCTATGATTGTATTGAAGGTACGAAGGTAACTCATAAGAGAGTTCAATGCACCAGAAGACTTCATTTTAAGCTTCAGCCTGTTGTTTGTAGATCGATATTTTATCGATAGGCCGGGTTTTCCTGATAAACTGGCGTATCATCAATATCCCGTTCACTACCGATAGACCGATTCTATCTCTACGACAAATGTTATACTGAAGCGCTCGTTGTAACACACGCTAGTCTCCCATGTGTAACTCGACATGATAGAGCTTATGAAGTGCTAAGCAAGTAAATCAGCTTTTCATGGATCTTCGTGCTTTTTGCAAGAAATAGCCATGGTCTTATGTATAGGAAGAAGCAATGATTGTATAGTTTTGAAATAGTAATCACATGATATACAATAGCTTTATACACACTTTACAAGAAAAATTTTCAGGCACGAGTTTTTCTGTACTTCACCTTTCAATTCAGATATATAAAGGCAATCATGTCCAATAGTAGCTACTTGTGTTTGCATCAAATATTTGCGTACGAAGCATGTAAAAATCCACAAAAGTTAGCAATTGAATTGGACGAACAATCAATAACATATAGTGAACTGTTGTTACAAGTACAAAAGCTATCCTTGTACTTAATCAACAAGTGTGGTATAAAGGTAGGTGACATCATCTTCCAGTGCGTCGAACGTTCAATTGAAATGTGCGTTGGCATATTGTCAATTCTTGCCTGCGGTAGTATTTACTTTTCTTTGAATCCATCGGATCCTGAAGGACGTTTACAAACATTGATCAGTGATATAGAAAATGGCCGTTTATTGTTGCTACATACATCAACAAAAAATAAACTATGTGGTATTCAACTTAATTCAGTCGACCTAGGACACATATTGTCCGACCAAACTCTGATGATAACAGATGATGATTTGCATCGATTATCAAGCATTGACGTAACAAGTGAACATTTATTCTATATTGTTTCTACCTCAGGAACAACTGGAAAACCAAAGTACATCCAACATCAACACAAGAGCCTTTTGTTGCATACTCAAGCTTATCAGAAATTAAATATCCAAAATCAAAGTGACATAGCTCTTCAATTAGCTGGTTCATCGTGGGTTCTCCATATGACGGAGATAGTACCAACATTGGCCATTGGTGGAACATTGATTACGTTGAAGCCTCATGGAAATATGAATATGAAATATTTAGTTGAAACAATCGAAAATAAACAAGTATCGATGATGACAATGGCTTCTGCTACGACACGAATACTATGCGAATATTTACAGTCTGATGTTCATGACATGCACCGACAATGTATGATGACAGTAAGAATATTGGGAATAGCAGGTCTGTATGCACGAATATGAATGCAATATTTGACTTTTCTTATCGAGCGAAAATCTCCATTTCAGGTGAGCCGTTGAAGCCGAAAGCGATTTGTTGCTTATCATCATATATGGCAACAAATAGTCAAATTTATAGTCTTTACGGTTCGAGCGAATGCTTTTCTGTTATGTTTCATCGCGTACATGAGCCAAGAACAACAAATGGCATTATTCCAACTGGATCTTCATTGCCACATTACCAATGTTATCTATTCGATGAACAACAACAACAAGTGACTGCTGTAGATCAAATTGGAGAGATTCATGTTTGTGGTAAGTCAATGCATTGTGCGTACATAGATTATCGAAAGCAACGGTCTTTTGTGCTAGGTCCTGGTTTATTCAAAGGCTATCTAAATAATCCAATAGCAACAGAACAAGCTTTTATGATTCGAGACGGCAATAGGTTCTTTAAAATGGGTGACTTAGCTAAATATAATGCGAATGGTGAATTTATTTATATTGGTCGAAAAGATTTTCAAGTTAAAATTTATGGCCAACGAATTGAAACTGGAGAGATCGAAAATCGGCTTTTATCAGTGTTTCACGAAATAACTGATTGTGTCATTATCAAATACAGCGACAATGAAGACGAATATCTTATCGGATATATACAATCCTCTTCGATCAAGACTACATCACCATTGAAAACATACTGTGAACAATATTTTCCTTCATACATGGTACCACATGTTTTTATTATATTAGAAAAATTTCCACTCAATCCAAATGGAAAACTAGATCGCCGACAATTACCTCCACCAAATTTTGTCGAGTTGCGGGACGAACTTGTCGATAGCAAATTGCTTGCGCAATTGAGAACAAACTCTGGAGTAAGAAATCTAACTCGAGAACGTTTATTTTTGGATGTTATTAGAGCGTGGAACACAACGCTACAAGACAATACTTCTGTCGAAGATGTGGACGTCGATGCTAACTTTTTCGAAATCGGTGGGAACTCATCACTAGGTGCTACACTTCTCTCTTATATGCCACATTATTGTCAGACTCATTTGGTAATTGTCGATCTCTTTAAATATCCAACTATCTCGTTATTAGTGAAGCATCTCGAGCAGAAACTAAACTTACAATCAAGTGCCACTACGATGAAACAGAGTATAAAAAATAATCCGGATTCACTTGTATCAGAAGTTCATTCATCCCAAACTGATATAGCCATAATTGGGTTAGCAGGTCGTTTCCCTGGTGCTGATGATATAGAAGAATTTTGGTCGAATCTTATCAATGGTAAAGAAAGTCTAGTTGAATTTAATGACCAGGATTTAGATTACGTAAGTTTTAACAGTCAACCAATTTCCAATTCCGTTTATGTGCAAGTAAATGGGTGGCTTGGTAAAAGCAATTCAAATGATGATCACACTCGCAACATATTTGGGTTTGATGCCAATTTTTTTGGCTATTCTCGACGGCAAGCAGAACTTTTAGATCCACAACAGCGTCTATTTCTAGAAGTATGCTATCAAGCATTAGAAGATGCTGGTATTGTAACCGATGATTTGCAAGATGAAAATAAAACTATTGGTGTATTTGGCTCTATCGGGTGGAACTCCTATTTGAACAAATACATATTACCCAATCAAGCGCACAATAGTACCGTGGATACACATAGATTAATACTAAATAACGATAGTCATTTTCTAAGCACCCGTATCTCGTTCAAATTAAATTTGCATGGGCCTTCGGTTGTGGTTCAAACAGCTTGTTCTTCATCTTTGGTTGCCATACACATGGCTAAAGAAGCGATCAGACGCGGCGAGTGTCACATTGCAATAGCAGGAGGTGTCAATTTAGGTGAATTGAAGGAAAGGGGTTATACTTACACACCTAATCATATTTTATCACCCGATGGTCATTGTCGAGCACTAGATTCATCTGCTAATGGAACTGTGCCTGCTCAAGGATTGGGAGTTGTCGTACTAAAACCACTTGTAGCTGCGCAACAAGATCATGATCAAATCTATGCAGTCATTATTGGATCGGCCATTAACAATGATGGTTCCAACAAAGCTAGTTATGCTGCACCCAATCCATTGGGTCAGAAGAAGGTGATCCAAAAAGCCTTGGCTGACTGTCAACAACCTGAAGTAAAGAAGTCTATGTATTATATTGAATGTCATGGCACTGGTACACAATTGGGAGATATGATTGAATTGACTGCATTAGGCGATGTTTATTCCAATGAAAAAATTCAACGTCCAATTGCAATTGGAAGTATAAAGAGCAATATTGGACATGTAGAGATTGCAGCAGGAGTAGCTGGACTAATCAAAACGACTTTGGCATTGCATAGAAAACAACTGCCACCATCAATCAATTGTCAACATCCGAACAAAATCATTGGAGAAAATAACCAAGTATTTCATGTCAACACACAATTGACGAACATATCAATGCTAGATTCGCCCGTCTATGCAAGCGTTAGCTCATTTGGAATGGGAGGAACCAATGCACATATGATCATTCAACAGTATCAAGACGAGTCCAAGTTCACTAGTGTTTCTTCAAGCTTGAACTATCAAGTATTGTGTTGGACAGCCAAAAGTTTAGAAGCAGCAAACAAGATGCGTATACAATTGTTGGACGCTATGAAATGTCATTCAGAAGCACAAAAGACATACTATTGTAATGCTGCTTATACTAGTCAAGTTGGACGTATACATTATAAACAAGCAAGACAAATGATTATAGCTAAAGACACACTGCATGCAACAAAAAGGTTACTAGAATGTACATCATCAGCCATGTCTACTCTATCGATATTACCTGCATTCATATTTATATTTCCTGGTCAAGGTGTTCATTATAATGGCATGGGTATAAATCTATACCAACAAATACGAAGCTTTCGTGCATTTGTGGATCAAATATGGTTTTCATGTATTGATTGTGTTCAGTCCAACGCTTCTTTATACCATCCAACTACGATTGAAATAATCAGAAAATTATCGATAGAAGATGTATGGAATTCATGCGCTAATATGGAGAGTGAACTATCGTGGCTGTCTCAAGTTGGTTTATTTTTATTGCAATATTGTCTTTCCATGTGGTTGATCAATATGGGACTGAAAATGGATGCATGTATAGGACATTCGTTAGGGCATTATGTCACTGCAGTATTTGGCGGTATGCTAAGTGTTGAATGTGCCATGTTGATGCTTCTGAAAAGAAGTGAATTACTACGTTTGCATATCAGTCAGGATACAAGAGGAGCGATGCTATCTATTCAAATTAGTCACGATACAGCGCTAGAAATGTTACCCGACGATGTTGAAATAGCGGCGATCAACAGTCCTTGTCATATTACTGTAGCAGGAAGTGATGTGACAATAGATGCATTACATGAAATGTTTAATTCCAAAAATATGCCTAATACACGTATAAAACGTGTCCAGTATGCTTTTCATTCAAAATTTGTGGATGTCATTTTACCGGAGTTCGAAAATTTCATCATACATCTGAATGCAAGAGGCATAAACAAACCGACCACCAATTGTGTTCGCTATGCTGACACCGTTACTGGTACATTTATGTCCAAAAATCCTACGTCGCATTTCAACATCGATGCTTCTTATTGGACTACTCATTGTCGCCAACCAGTTCAGTTTTCCTGTGGGCTGGAAAATTTAATAAATTCTCAATCTGAAATTAATCAAAGTTTCGTTTTTCTTGACATAGGACCAGGACGAAGTTGTCTCTCGTTTCTACAGAATCAATCCTATTGTCATGAGAATCCAGATAAATGGACGTATTATCAATTATTATCTAGCTATCAAAATTTCGAACGTTTAAAAGAGCCAACATTCGACAAAATTGAAGGCTGTACTGATGATTATTTTACTATGATGGTATTGGGTGAATGTTGGAAAATGGGAGTGAATGTACAATGGAAAGCATTGTACGCTTATTACAATGAAATGGAACATCCGAAAAAAGTTTCTTTGCCGTTATATCCATTCGATCATGACACTATTTATATCTTTTCTGAATTGCAAAAATTACAGGATGGACCAACAACGTGTTCCTCTCTATTCTTGCAACCACCAGCACATCGTGAGGCTGTGAGCCACTCGAATGAATTTGAAAACCAATCGAAGATGCCGTTAAGCGTGATTGATGGCGTTATTCAATGTTTTGCTTCAATTTTCGGTGACTCCACTTCGTCCTATTCCCTCACATCAGACTTCGTCGCTTTAGGTGGGGATTCCTTATCTGCTGCACAATTCACATCAATATTAAATAAAAAATTCGGTTTACATTCATTACCTGCTGGAAAACAGATACAGACACGTACGCTGTTAACTTGCTCAAATGTTTCGAAATTAGCTGCATTGATCACATCGTTTCTCAATGAAAGCTCAGAAGTAAAAGCTCCAATAGAAAGTATGGCATCGTCTGAGGATGGGTCACTTCCATATGCAAACATTCTTTTAGAGTCTGGCATGCCTTTGTTTTATAACTCACTCCACGTAATAAAAGAAGGAAGTTTAAAAAGTAACTTATTACCATTAGTATTAATACATCCATCGCATGGTGATGTGTCACAATATCAAGCTCTTGCAGTTCATTTGCATAGTGATCAAATTGTTATGGCATTTCGTGCACCAAGTTTGGATGGAGTCACGATGCCTCATTCATCTCTTGTTGATATAGGAAAAGATTATTTGACAACTTTAATGCATGAAAAAAGTCCGTTTATGCACTATTATTACCACTATCGTAAGAATCATCCGAATTCTACCAGCGTTCCATTTTTGCTCGGTGGACATTCTTTTGGAGGACTAGTCGCCTACGAAATGGCCTGTCAACTGCCCAACATAACAACTAAATGTGTTGTGTCCGGTCTTTTATTGATCGACAGTCCTACTCCAGGCAAACAAATCACTGCAAAAACATTGGATGATGCAGATCTGATCGATTACTTTTTTCATTTTTCTACCAATGCTTCCATACACAGACCTATTGCAGATGAGCTACGTGAGCGAAGTGAATGTGAAAAAGTTGACATGGTTGAATTAGCGAAAACCTATTTTCCTTCGACGTTTCATGAGACTTCACCCCATGCACTATCAACATTTCTATCGATGATGCAAATCTATCGCTCACAAATATCATCTGACACACTTAATATCGCCTATACTGGCAATATAATATTCTTTCTTCCAGAAAATGTCGGAACACATCCCAATAGTATTCATCGGACACTGCATTTAGACTGGCTACATTTCTTAAATAATAACAAATCTACTTTTGTCTTGGAGCATGTGCCAGGCGACCATATCACCATGATGCAAGCACGTCATGTGGCACAAATGGGCAAAGCAGTTCAAAAGTGGTCTAACATATTGTCTGCATAAAAACACATGTATAACATCTACTGCTCGTTGACATTCTACGATTATTATCTGACCATAGTGTCTTTCACTCTTGATGATATTATTATTGTTCATTTTCTTCAGTAATATGAAAATTGAACGCTTTCCCATAGAAAACTGGCATTTGTGCCTATTGGAGGGGGTGGGTGTATTTGTACGTAGATAGTTTGAACGAACTAATCAAAAACTAGCAAGATGCGTTTCGGTAACTGCTAAAGTTACACTTTTCAATTGCTAATGATTTGATCGAATAATATAAACTCTCCTACTATGATTTGTCAAAATCAAAAGTTTTTAGAGAGAAACTTCCAATAATGGTGTAAAAGAGATTCTCTAACAATTCGGATATGTTTATGTAGAATGATTTTAAGAAAAATCAATCAATAGCTAGCAAGACGCATTTCGATAAGTGCTAAAGTTAAACTTATCAATTGCTTAAACTTTTGCTTATGTCATAACATGCTAATACGATGCGTGTTGGACAACCTCGTGGCTTTGAAGACGTATACAGCATTGGTTATGCTATGCTCATGGTACATGGTTGGATAGAGTAATGGTTATGATGAGAAAGAGTCAGACGCAAGAGGACTTTGTGTCAGAGAAGGTGATCAGATTCGAAAGTGTATTTTATACTGTCTGACTTATCCCTGTTTTTGAATGGAAGTTCACACGTGAAATAATTCCAGAATGAAGTGACGTTTGTTATGAATGATGGAAAGAGAAGATTGACAGAAAACTCTAACGAAAATATCAATAGGCCTGAGAATGTAGATGTGAGTGTATATAAATCTGACATTCATATTGGTACGCACACGCACACACCACCACGCAATAAACCTTTTCCATTCAATAATCTCAAAATTACAATTAGAGTCTTTTAATGCACACTCGTTCATCAAGGCGTTAGTGGAAAAAGTCCATATCGACATTGAATGAAAAAAGCAAAGGATAACGCAAATAATAATAATAATAATAATAATAATATCAAAGCGATTAGTATCTCATGAGTGATCTGAGGCTTATGGCCTAACAACGATGGTTGTGTTCAAAATATCATTTTTCAAAGGATCTTACTGACTGAAAGAAACGATGTATTGAGTTCAAGTCATTAGCTAAGACAAAGCTCTATAATGACTAGCTCCAGTAAACATTTCAGATCTGTATCTTGTTCCAATCACAAGTAATAGAGTACCAGGTTTGTCTAAAATGTGGAATTCTATTCCATATTGGATAAGTCGTGAGCCCTGAAGAGTTCAATATTTTGAATTAGAAATTTTATCGTAAGTGCAACTCATAGCATTATATGTTCATAAAAATTTTTAGTTTAATCGGTCAAGACCCTTGTTGGTCGAAACATATGATCTAGAGATTTTTGTGAAAGATCTATAAACGATTAAATATTCAGTATTTTTCAATATAGAGTGTGTGAAAACTCACAAAACGGATTCCTCAACAAATATGTTGAATAGAGGAAAGCCGTACGATTATGATTTTGTAGTTTCTCTATCATTTATGGCAGTAGTTTAGATGAAAAACCTTATTAGACATGAAATGGAGAAACTGTATATCTGTCATTTTTCTTAGGCAGACTGATAAAAGCCCAAACTTTTGGCTACATTCCTAATTTGAGTAGGTCTATTAACAGGGAAAAAATGTGGGTGTTCGTGGAGTCAACTCGACGAGAGCTCTATCTACTGAGAATATGGGATCTTGGTTTGGGGGTGTTCGCTTGTTTTAAAAAAATCTTTCACGAGCTGATATTAGTCTATACGTATGTTATTTGTTCTTCAGTTAACAGTTTCTTCTGTTCTAGCGTTCATCATTGCACTTAACATATTTATCGTAAGCCAAATCACTTGTTCTGTATCACACCGCTAGGAAAGAGCTAACCATCACATAGTCAATGATGGTGTTGCAGCGCTAATCTGCAAGAATAAAATGTTTTTTCCTAGGTTTCTTCAAACCCGTTCAGATGCATGTCGTTCAGTACATGCTAATTGAGATCATACGATGTTCTGTAGAGAACAACGAATATCGATTCAAGTCTAGCATTCGAAGTTAATACTCTAACATGAACCAAACAGAAAGCTAATTGAGAAGTTGTACTCCAATGATTAACTGTTTTTTTAAGTTGAATGTGATGAAACTGAACAAGATCTAGTGAATTTCAGTTTTTGAATGATGTCTTAGAGAATCTTCAAACTTCAATTTAAAAAAATTAAAAATTAATTTTACAGGAGCATTTTGTAATTATACTGAAATGTGTGATTTCAATTTGACATTTCAGATGTAGTTTATAATTCAATTTTTTCTAGTCGATGTGCGTCACTTTCAATCAGCAACTACCTGCAATATCATCATTTATGTTGTTTGAGGTGAATGATTGGTTTTATCAAATACATGTACAAGATGCGATACATTTGACTGATTTCTAATAATAATCATATCGAAAAATGATTAGATTTCAACGAATAGAGAAAATCCATAAATTGTTGTCATCTTTTAAAGAAAGTAACAGAACAAGTGTTAGAAAGTATATCATTAGATGTTGTAAAATACAAGAAACCTTCTAAGTCTAGTTATTCATGCCGTTCAATCACTTTTATCTCGATTTCTAAGTTTTATAATGAAAATATGACTGATGAGAACTGGATACAACATGATAGAATGTGCTTGTAATACTGCAACAAGCAAGTATCATTGTTCAATTATTTTCAACTTCGAATTATGGAGAAACTACAAAAATGATCTTCTTGAAAGCTCAATAATAGACATGATTCACTTAGTTGATAGACAAAGAAAATATGATGATTTATCCACATTCAATAGGAAAAACCGTTCACAGTTTTATATGGAAAAAGAAAATGCTTGTTTTATTGTCTCGATATGCAGAAGTCGTATACTCTTGCGGTTTCTCTCCATATATCATAGTTATGTTCTGTATACAATCGTACAGATATGTCATCGTAGTATGAGAAAATACGCGTTCTATTGCTATCAGTTTGAAAAGAAGAGGACAAAGTTCTAAAAATAATTGCTTACATTTCTTTTCTTATTTAAGTAAAAAATTCGAATACATAATATTCTGTAAAACTGTATAGTGTTTCGATGATCATGTAAAATTGAATAATATCTTAAGATTCTACACATACAATTTTGATTTATCTAGTTATTTGATTCGTTAGATTATAAAGTTTTTTAATATTCTAAACTACAAATTAAATTTTACACATTAATGTACAATCTCAAATATGATACTAATCTTGATAAATTCACCAATCTACGTAATGGTAAAGGTCATGAGTACTAAACTACTGATTATCAGATGTACCGATGAAGCAGTCGACAACTACTTTGAACTGATGTGAAGATATAGCATATTTCTGAAAAACCACTCATAGAATAATTCTTGTTTTTTCTCTAAAATCGGCGAATAAAAAACTTTGATCTACATTAAGGTTATTTTGTCTACCAATTATTAGTTCATCAAAACGGACTTATTAAAAATGAAGTTTTTCTTGACACTAAGATTCAAGCAGAAAGTTTTGGTGAATGTATTGAATTAGAATAACAAGCAAGAAAATGAAGTTATTAGGAAATTAGATTGCATAATTTTTTTTAAATATATTTTCTAAATTTCATTCAAAAATTAACGTTATGAAGTAGGATCGTGTAAATAAAAGAACAGAATAGTTTATAACAGTAAATCGTATGGTGATGATGTACGAATAACAAATAATTTCGAAAGGTACTCTTAGGAGATCTTATTGTGTCACAGTATGCTATGTAACAGAACATTTCATAGAAAAGAAAGATCATTTAATATCGGGATGCAAGTGAAATTGCTTACTCTTCAGTATCTCACATAGATACATAATATGTTCGAACTGTTTTATTAACATCTCTAAATTGTAATACTAATGTTAATCTATCTCTTTCTACTGTTCTTTATATTGTTTATGTAAAAGATCCTTATAAGACATGTTGATTCATTGGTTGTATACAGCTGTCATCAGAAAAAGATAGATCAAGGACTTTATTTATATATAGATAATAATAGAATGATTCATAGATAAACATAATAGTCAACGATGAAGTATGTTTTTATCTAGATTTAGTAGTTTAATTTGTTTGAATTGTAAATGTCAGATTAGAACATAGGTATTCAAATTAATTTTAATAGTTATGTTTTTTACGACAACATAAAACTTCTCTTCATCTTTACTTATAATATATACGTATTTACATAAATCACATTCTTCCACAAAAAAAAAATATTCACATAATTAAAATGGCAAGTCTATAAAAACACCATCTGACACAGAATTATATACATAAAAAAAATACAATGGCTCTTCATATATATGTATGACAATGTATCTAACAATTAACAATCCATGGCCATGATTCTTTCAAAATGATGTATTTAACAGCTTCAAAAACATCAAGTTTAATTGTTGTTGGTAATTTCAATGGATTTTTGCCATCAATTTTTTGTTTATTTGGTTCATAAACACCTGTACATACTAAAATTGATTCACATGATGTTGCATTTAAATATTTTGAATCTGTTAATAAATTATAACCACTAATACTTGTTCTTAAATTTATTTCTTGTTGTAATAAATGATTATACATATTTGCACCAATAATATCAACATCTGGATTATCTCCGATAAAATAAACTCTCTCGATTTTTGGTTGACCATTAGCTAATGCTATTTTATTAGCTATTGTTTCAGCATATTGATATGAAATTTCAAATGGTTTACCAACAAATGCTGTATATTTGAGATCATTTCCACTTATACTCTATATAAAAATCAAAAAAACAAAAGTTCATAGAAAATTTTCTTATTAATCAAAAAAAAATAATAATTTACTTTATATAATGTTTCTAAACATGTAAGAAATGCACCATGACCAAAACGTGGTAAATCTGCAGCAGCTTTGAATACAAGATCTCTGTTACAAGCAATGATAGGTATATGCTCATGATTAGTATTCGAATCAGATGGTACTATAGCAGGATTACCATCTGTTAAAAGAAGATCAATAATAACTTGTAACGATCTTTCCCATTGAATAGGTTCACCAAGCAAAACAACAGCTTAAAAAAATGACAACAATGAAAGCATTGATAAGAAGAATAAAACGAATATCTACCTTCGATAGATCGAAAATTGTCATCATGAACGAGACCTTGAGTACGAATCATTTCACTCTACAATGCACAATAAATAAAAAACAAAAATAGAAATTTGTTGTTTTTTTTCTTGTTACTTACTAATCTAGCTCGATTCATATGATCAACCATATCTAATTCTGGAAATGCTTTACAAACTTTTTCAATTGTTGTTATACTTTTAAAACCAATTCTATTCAAATAAAGGATAAATAAACATTACAAATAATAAATTCAATTAAAATCTATACATTCGAGCAATGTCTTCGACTTGACCTTGTCCAGAAATAAGAACATGTTTATTATGAAAATCAGTTAGTGTACGCATTGGTGTTTGAGCAAGAACAACTTGTTCAGGATGAATCTGAATTTAAAAATATGTGTAAAATAAATGACTAAATAGTGTTAGAAAAATAAACTTACAGTTACTCCAAGTACAGCTGATAATTGTTTAGCTTTATCTGATTCAAGCATACATGTATTTGAAACAAATACAATAGGCACATTGAGTTGAATCAATGTTTGAATTGCTGGTTTAGCAACTTTGATGAAATTTGGACCTTGTGTAATAACACCATCAATGTCAAAGAAACATGCGAAATTTGACTATGAAATAGAATATGAATTAGTAAAAATAAATATATATTCAAAATTTTATCTTACTGCTTTCATGATAAAGATTGTTAGTAATCAGTAAATACTCGCTAGTTTTATTTGAAGAAACAATTTTATAATAGACAATTTTTTTTCTGAGTAAAACTAAGCAGATCGACGGTATTTATATACTGCGATGTCAATAACAGAAAAGAGGCACGAAGAGACCAGCCTCCGATATCACGCCTGACCTATTTAATTCCATTGTTTAATGTTGTTCATGTGACCATTTCGTAGTGTTTTTTACTAAGATGATATATGCGATCTTGCTCAGAACACATACTTTCTGAATGATATTATTCTGTTATTAGCATATTCTTCTTTTCTCGTTCTTTCTAGACTAACATGATACTAGGAATAACAGTAGAGAAATAAAGAACGAAGTACGTTGTCCTATTTATCCATAGAGACTGCGCGTGTAAATAATATTGTATGTCTATTTCTATCTGAATGTACTAAAAAAGTACAAATAGTTTCAAGTCGTATAATGACTCAAGAGGAGAGAGTTATTAAGATGTTGGAAATAAAAGAAAAGCTGTGCTTTTATATGAATAGTTCTGAAACTATATTTATCATTTTCTTTAGTGATTTTGTCACAGATCAGTATTGTTACTGATGCTTATCATGATAGAGAACCAATTTCAATAATCAATAGAGCCCAATAGGTTTCCATCACTGAAAGTTCTATATTTAAAGAGAAAACTTTTTATGCATTTCTCTTGTTTTTCAAATCGTAAATTTTCATTATTTTGTAGTTAATTAGTCTGATTGACAATACTTTATTGACAAATAATTATGAAAAATGAATAGTGAAAAGAATTGATGATCAAAATACTGTTATTCACGTTTAAAATCTTGTTTATTTCTTTTGTACAAAAAAAATCAGTTATCAATAAATATTAAATGTAAAAGTTTCAATTTTCGTCGTCATCATCATATTCACTCGAGAAAACCCTTTCTTTTGGTTTGTTATTAATTGATCATCTTTAATCTCTCAGTTAGGAACATTTTATGTTTGAGAAAGTCTGAATATTCAGAAGAGCCAAACTGAAGGAGCGTTGCTCTACGACGTTATTACCATAATAATTCTGAACTAAAAACTGGAAAATGAATATTTTTCTTTTTCGGAACAATTTCTATGATTTAAATAAAATTAATAGAACATTATGCAGAAGAGAAATAAATGTTTCAGTATGTTGATAGCATTTTCGTTCTCAGAAAGGTCGATGTTCATTTCATTTGTTCTTTTTTTTTTGAATAGGAAACAATCATTTTGAAAGTACAAAAATTTTCTATTTTCTTGAGTCTTGAAAGGAGATTATAATTAATCTATTTAATCAGTTCACTTAGTGTTTTTTCTTCTTTTTAAAATTTATTTATTTTATGATATGACAAATGGGTTAGCATAACAAGTATAATTTGACGTATTCTTAGTGATAGTGCAACGAACGAAAAGAAAAATTTGAAAGGAAAATATTTTCATTCAATATCTTTGTCTTATTTGTTCCACTGTCAATAAGAATGTATCAAATTATATTTCTTATTCTAACCTACTTGTCATTTTAAAAATAAAAATAGTGATCCTGTGTGAATAATGTTGACGAAATGTCATTAAAAAAAAATTAACAGGAAGAGAAGAATAATTTAACAAATAGATAGTTTTTGCCATCAACTTAGATGAGCATAGTTCTTTGGAGAATGTAAATAAATTATAGAGAAAAAGCTATGAGAGTTTGATTAGTTTTGTTTCTCTTATTGAGGAAAAAATGTGGTAGAAACTCATCCTTTTTTTGAATTATCTACTATATTGTTAGTAAGTATTACTTGAAAGAAATTGACATATAATATTTCATAGATACGAGGATTTTTATATACTATTATATGTTAGAAAGAAGATTAACAGTTATTAAGTTTTTTTCTTCTTATCAGAATTCTACTAACTAAGTTCCATAATTGTTTCTATTCTAGTTTCACAAGGAAATAAAGAGAACTGAACAATCTTTGTAATTAAATCAGATGGAAAATAGTATATGCATAACAATTATAGATAAGATATATTCTTCGATTTTTATATTCGCTAGTTTTTCTTTGACTATATCTGTCAGTCATTAGAAGAACTCTCTGAAAAAATACGAAATGTAAAAGCCATCAGTCTAGGCAATTTTGGGTGTGGGTGTGGGTCTGAGTGTGAGTGTTGGTATCTTCAAGTCACCCACACCCACACCCAAAATAAAACTGTGAGATGGTTACTATCAATCTCAAGAAAAGTTTTTACATTCGTACTTATATTAGTTTCATTCGAATTCAACAAAACGCATTGCTTAATATACAATATTAGAAAAAAGTTTATTACCAACAAATATTTTCAATTTTACAAAAGAAAAATGTAAAAAACAGAGGTTTATATCGATGTAGAACTATTTGGGCTTGGTCTGTCACCACCTAGGTGCCGAAACAGTGATAAAAGAAATTTTAGTAAAAGTAACACATAACGATTATTTCTTTTGGAGGAAACAGTGAGATTAAATCTGTGCTATTCAAGCACGTTATATCTCTATTTATATCTAATTGACATCTAAATTTGAGCAAATGTTGACCATACTTCGATAATTCTAAATGTCTTTGGAAGTTTTTCTGTATTCATTCGAGAAAACTGAAAGAGAAAAACCCATATTAATTCATACTATTGAACATAAATTATTTTCTTTATTATTATTTAATTTTAAATCAATCAGCTTTTTGTTTCTATTTCAAAATAGGAAAATATCGATAAATCTGATTTTTATAATTTACCATTAAAAGATAATGATGATCATGCATTATGTTTTCCTTGTATTCTAACACTTGTTTGTTAGTAACCATCTGATTCTCCTTGAAGAGAACATTAAAGTTATTCTCCTTATTCTCTATTTATAAAAGGTGTTAAAACTGAAAATCTTCCGTTACATAGAACATGTTCAATTTGAGGTGTGGGTGTGGATGTTGGTAGTAGTTCTGCCATTCACTGACACCCACACCCACACCCCACCCTCCAACAGAGATAAGAGACAGTAGATAGAAGAACATTCTGACAAAATTTGGAAAAGTTTGAAAATCGGATGTGGGTAGTTTGCTCATTTTACGGAACGAGTCACTTGGACGACACTCTAGAAAAAAAAATTTTTTTACCATTGTATCAGAGCTCAGCTTGGATATACAGATAATGTACTTGATTTGTCTGTTGAATAGATTAATTTTGTCCGATATCAATTTTTTAAGTGACATCATGATTTTCAGACTAATTTTTGGGAGACTAATTTTTCCAGTTTCTTTAATCTGTCAAAACTGGACAAATCTCTAGGCAACGGGAGGAGACTCAAAAAGTGTAATTTTTATCTGAACGTCCTTTACCGATGACTCTTTATATATATATAGACATACGTTGCACTTGAGTATTTGACACAATCATTCGTTTTTTTTTTCATTAATCGTAATACAAGCGTTGATATACTCATTAGTTTTCGTATCCATTTTTCTTTTATGTGGTAAGATAAAGAAATTTATATATGATTTTTTTTTTAATTAGATTCTTTTACTTTGTTTAGTACCAGCAATATCAATAGAAGATGTTAAACCTGTTTCAAAAGTTTCAAGACAAAATTTTGTTGCATTACCGAGTTATTCAAAATTATTAACACTTTTGAAAAATCGAGAAACAAAATTTTATGAAAATGATGATGACATCTCACGCGAAATAAAACAATTAACATCAGTAAATCGACGATTTTTTCTTTTTCTTGTTCAACGTACTACTCGTCGAAATCGACCATAGTATACCTATGGATGAAAATCTCATTGGGATACATTTTTTGGATAAAAATAAATAATTCTATTATATAATATATTTGATATTCTAGTTCGCATCTATTCATGCAAACAATATATTGGACATGAACTAGTTTTATTCAAATCTATCATTTCAAAAGGAATTTATTGTTTTTATTCTTTTTAATTTTTGATTTTTTTCTTTCTTGCTTTTTAAATATTTGCATTTGAAAAGAAAAATGAAAGCTTCAAGAAGGTTTTGAATAACAATGATCAACAATTGTAATAATTGCATACGACGAAGTATGCTATTTCTCATTCAACACAAAAGGACTTCTCTCCACACAATAAACATGAAATCTGTGTTCTCTTGAAAAAAAAATCCTTCGCGTTTAATATCGTATTTGAATTAGTCTAGAAAACGAAATAAGAATTATTCATTATAGAATAAATAATTTTAACATACTGTTCGATTTAATCTAAAAGAAATGACAACATTTATTTTTAAAATAAATACTTACTGTATAATTTGTTATTTCATTTAATCTAAATCAGAAAAATCATGTTATTTTTTGTATTCATATAGTATCGAATAACATATTGAATTGTAAGTAATTATTTATTTAAAAATAAATACTTGGTATTTAATCTGTTATTCTATTCAATCTAAATAAGAAAAATAAAATCATTTAGTGAAAGAAAACTTACCAATCTATTTGTTGGTGAATTTAAAACAAAAAAGTTACACTCGAGCACGCGACTGTCATTTACGTGCATGGTATACGATCGTTTGTTATCGGACATTTTGAATCTGGATGGGTTTCTAATGCCCTGTAAAGTGAAAAATAAAATTTTCACCTTCAAAAAGAATATTTTCGAGTCTTGACACATAAAAAAAGTTTGGATACCTTCTATATAGAACTACTAATAAATTTTGTATGTACTACAGAATATTTCGATTGGTGGTGGGGATGTATGTGAACAAGAATTATTGTATTTTTCTATTACTACTCTTTATTTGCTTTAATTTATATTTCAATCTAACAAATAAGAATAAAACGAGTGTTGAATAATCAGATACTGAGGATAATGATATATCATCCGTATGAGAGAGTTTCACCTTTAATGGAATAATGTACTTTGCTAATATTTAAGAGACTTTTTTTGTATAGAATTTTATTTCGTTTGAGAAGGTAAAATAGCTGAAATGCTTTTTAATCTACCAATGTCTGCTATATGAAGATGCAATTAATGATAAGAATAATATGTTAGATGAATATTATATATCGGATGTTTTCAACATCGACAATGATGATAATGTTAATAATAAAATATTTGACTTTCTTGATCAAAGACAACTGTGATCACTTTTTTGACATATGATATTGGTGTTTCTATTTTTCTTCATATCCATGCATTGCTAGCCTTACCAAGGACCTAATCGATAGGTTATAATTGTTCTCTTTCTTTTTCTGCAATGACCTCAGACAAGAAAATAGTTATGTCTTTTTTTTGTCTACATATGATGGATAAAAAAGGCAAAGAATTCATCGTCATCTTTCGAATGATTGCAATTATAGGTTATTTTCTTTTATTTTCTCTCTCTCTCTTTCCACTCTTTGTTTAAATATAAGAATTGAGCGAGATCAATGAGAACGTTTCACATTGGCACTCACTTATTCTGTGTTGCAGAGTTGAACATACTGAAATATCATGTAGTCAAGAAATAATCTAGATCTAAGACAGGGAACCACATTTAGGTATGAAGAATGCAATGATGGAATTTATTGATTATAGAAAACTAAAGAGCACCTGGAACTGTATCGAATTGATTTTAAAAATAAAATTTGCATCAATTTATCTTAAAACATGTTAAGAGCTACAATCTTTATAAATACCATACATATTTCTCAAGGATTATCACCGTATATGGACCCTTAGGAGATCGAAAATTGAAGAAAACTTGATTTCTTATATACGATTCGATACATTGCAAATAGCTTTACAAAACCACATATATGGTATTTCGAGGATGTGAGTGATTTTTTCACAAACACCTACGCTCATATCCACACCCATTGATTTCAATCAATCAATTATGGTGTATTGCTACAGAAATCTGATTTTTCAGTAACTCATCTGATCTGCCTGTCTAATATTCCTCTTGTGGATGAGGATATTGAGATGCCGAAGTACTTCATGTTATACAGCATGTCATGTTTCACAAGTGATGCACGACGTGAGAATGAGCATAGGCAATAGAATGAATATCTGGGAGTAGACCTGTTTTGGTACTTGGAAGCTAGATCTCTGTATGGTTATGACCGTGATTGTGGAAGAGAATCCATAAGCCATGGGTCAATCGATAGTGCTCGTCCAATTCTAGTGAACAAAGTGGATTCTGAATGAGACATTGTGAAGCAGGTATATCTTAGGCGAAGCTGTATAAGTGTTATTCGGAAAAGTGACTCTACGATGATGTTTTTTTATTATTAGTTTTTAAGAAATTCTGTGAATGCAACATTTTCCAATTGTTAACATTCTATAATATACTCGATTCTTTGAAAGACAGAACTGATTGAACCAACAGTAGTCAAAAACTTGAGACTACCGACAGGAACTGTGAGGGTGTGGGTGTGGATGGAGAATAGACACATCTACACCCACGCCCACACTCTTCGCAGTTCGCGGAAACGTATCTTCGCTATTAGAAATTTATCACGAAAAAAGTTTCGCTGATTTTAATTTCCGCTCAGTTACTATTTTGCTGATTTTATCTTTCGCTAATCTAACTTTCGCTTTAAGTTTTTTTTGCTGAAAACTTTTCGCCAAAAGTTCGTTCGCTGATCCGCAACCTTCCCCTAACTTATTTTTAAATAAAAACAATTTTATTACTATTCTAGTAAAACTTTTTTTTTATTTAGAATTATTTGATGAAGCTCGTTTGGCTAAATATAGAGCTTTTTGTCCTTATTCACATTTTCGATATGAACTGAAAATATTTTCATGATATTTTTTTTTTCATATTACCTGAATAGAATAGAAGCAGCTTTCTTAACATCAATTAGCTGAATTTGGTCTAGATTTAGATGTTTATCTCATCAATCCAAAAAGTGAATCAGAGATATATAAACTCTAGTCATGATGATATAGAATGATTGTTCTTTGTTTTAATACAGCTAAATCTGATTATACATATCATTCAGTAATAATATGTTCGAAGATAACAAAGATGAAATTATAAAATTTCAAGATTCATACATTTTATATAGAGAATGAATCCCTATGAAAATGGTGTTAGTGTATATATCATGGACTGAACAGAAGAGTAGTACTCACACTCTAAAAATATGCATTAAAACTGCTACCAATAGATTAAAAGCTATTTATAGAAATTAATTAATCTTTATTTAAACAAATACATGTTATACGATCATTTTTCATTTTTTGAGTCAAAGAAAAAAATATAGAATTCTTTCGTTCTTTATCGAAATAAATGTAATATATAATTCATACATTTTTTTCGTTTCTTTTATTTATTCTAATTTTGTCTCGATTGTAAACATTTTTATTTTATTAGTATAAATTGCGTATTTATTTCAGACATTTTGAATGTTGAAAAATTTTCTTTAAGTGCATGACAAACAATAGCAAAGTATATGAAGAAGAAAAACAATAAAGAAATGTACAAAAAAGAAAGAAAGAAAGAACATTCATGTTATCTAACATCACATGGTTTGAGTTTTTTTTTAAAGCAACAGAATTCATACTATGACGAAGGTATGATTAGATTTACTACAGATTACTGCTCTATGAGTGTCTCAAAACGAATGAATATTTCTGTTAATTTTTGTTCATTTATTGAACATATATTGAAAAAAATTACCGAGAAAGATTTCAACAAAATAGAATGAATACTTTTCGAATATATCTGAAAATTAGATTGACACACATGTTCGCTTGAAATTTTGCTTTTTCATACGTTGATTTATTATTTCTATTTCAATCTGCTTTATTAAAATAAAAAAGTTGGTTGCCACTATCGTCAAGGACAGCAACGCCATCACAACAAGAAAAATGCACAATCAAATACTTGAAAAGTGATGAGTAAATAGCAAGAGTACCATGAGATGGTAGAAAGAAAAAAAACAGCATTCCTTCATTGCATCCATGATAGTGTGTTGATGTGATTTGAAGGCTTTCTCTTTCCCTTAATTCTTTCTTTGCTGGTCTTTTTTCCAGCAGCATCATCGTTGTAACATAAAACAAATAGAAACATCTTGTTGTTTTAAGAATGAGCAAAATCTATTCGTCGTTTCTTCGATATGAAAAAGTATGAAAGTAAAGCATACCTCATTTTATTATTTTGTTCTCTACGTTTGACTCCACGGTAAGAAAAAAAATTGCGCTTTAAAAACAAAGATCGAAACTGTATTGTTAAAAAGAAATACTATCAATGTAGAATATTCTATTCAAATATGAAATATTGAGTCAATAATAAGAGTTCTCCACTATCTATACGAAATACACGACTTTTAAGGAAAAAAAAATCAATGGAATTTCTTTATATTGATTTATAGATTGCATAATTACAATGGCTGATAAGTCGCGTGATACCTATCGTTTCTCCGACATAGATGGAGAACCTATGAGAAGGCTACCACCCTTGAGAGGCTTCGAGAATATGCCACTCGTGTCTCTCGAAGAAACAACACAATCCCTTATACCACATGTTCCAGAAATTGAGCATATGGTGTATATCGTACAAGGAAACAATATAAAACCACAAGATGATTTAACCGTTGATGAATCATCATCTATCGCATTATACTCCATGGAATGGACCCCACGAAAAAATTCATTCTACATCTTTTTGAATGAAACACTACGAAATGCAAATCGAGAAGAAATGCTTCCTCCATGGTTCAAATTTTTAAAACTCTTTCTAACAGCTCTCTCGAAACTTCCACCGACTGGTCTTCGAACCATCTATCGAGGAGTCAAGTT